AGAACTGCCCCTTCTGCATCCTAAGCTGCAGCTGGCTTTACCCCTTGCAGAACAAAGCCCACTGTTCCTTATCTCCTGCCACTTTCCTTTGCCCGCCCTAGACCTTGCTTCTGCAGCTGGTCTCATCCCTTGCAGAACAAAGCCCCACTGTCCCTTATCTCCTGCCACCTCTCTTTGTCTGTCCCCAGTCCTTGCTTTCTCCCAAATGCTACTTAAGGCCAGACCACCGAGAAAAGCTGCTCGCCATTTTTCTTTTCCTTTTCTCGGCCAGCCAGCCTGCTTATTAAACTTTTGGACATGAGATAACTCTCGTGAGCCTCCTTTGTGTGCGATGTGTGGTGTTTTTCTAGTATTTGGTGCATTGGCTGGGAACAGGTGAGCTTCCGGCATGGACCTTGCTCTCCCAGTCAGTAAATTCAGGTGGGAGCTGCTTTCCTTAAGCCTGGATAAACTTACTGGGATCTGAGCTGCTTTGCCAGGACCCCTGACCCCAGACTAGTGCTGCCATCACCACTCTCGCTCACAGGGAACCTCCTCAAGGCCAGTGTGTTTCCTGTAACTCACCCACCACCGTCTGATTTCCTTGGTCCTCCCTTGGTGAGCTCCCTTGGGTCGTGAGTTGTGGCGCTCTCTCTCTCTCTCTCTCTCCCCCTCACTCTCTCAGTTGGGAAATCCTAGTACTAGTTCCTGACTCACTCAGCTCAGGAACCAGGTTCCTGAGGCGTGGGTGATCCTCTCAGTGAAGACGTTCCCTTGAGGTCCCTCCATTTCTCTGTTTCGTCCAGGAAAGGAATATCTCGGGGACGCCTGCCATATTCTTCCTCGGAAAGGGTCTCATCATGGGCACTGGACCTTCCAAAATTCCCTCAGACACCCCTCTGGGCTGTCTGCTGGCCAACCTTGAGCCCCTACGGCTCTCGCCTGATCTAAAGGCAAAAAAACTCATTTTTCTTTGCAGTCAGGCTTGGCCACAATACCAATTGGACAATAACTCTAAATGGCCACTAGATGGCACACTCGACCCTAACATTCTCAGGGATCTCTATAACTTCTGTGAACACACTGGAAAATTAAAGGAAATTCCCTATGTCCTAGCATTTTCTTATCTCTGCTCTAAACCTTCTCTCTGCACCTCTTGCTCCCCTGCCCAAGTCCTTCTGGCCATAAAAGCCCCAATTAACGTTCCTGACTCCAAAACCTTCTCTTCCTTTGACCCTGCCAACAAACCAAATCCTCTCCCTAACCTCCTCCTTCCCCATGTAAACAGACTTCTTGTGCTGCTCACTCAGCTTGTCTCTTCCTATCTTCCTGAAAAACTTTCCTGTCATGGAGTTAAACAAGCCACTCCTTGCCAACTCTGGCCTCACAGTGATTCCAGCTCTGGGGAGCTCATGCTCCCTCCCTGTGGGCTGAGACCAAGCGCCAAGTTTATTCAGTACACCTCATGCTACACTGGCAGAATCCTGTTTAATTATGGCATCTGACGACTGCTTCTCTCCCCCCCTCCTGTCTAATGTCCCTTTTTCCTGAGACAGTGACCAGGGAATGGAGGTTTCGTGTTTCTGAAAATGTTCCAGTACCAGTCAGTAGGAGCAACCTAGAGACACAGGTGATGGCTAATCCCTCAGGTGTGTGTCATGCCTCCAGGCTCTGCCTTCCCCTCCCTTACCTAAGATGTCAGCTCACCTTTTCTGCCTCCTCCATGGTCTCACCACATGTCCTCTGCCTCTGTCTGCCTTCCCCTCCCTGGGCTTACGGGGACCCTGGCCTCCCGTGAAAAACTTGTGACATGGTACCTTATGACTTAAATTATTCCAACTAGTTTGCCAGGCCTCTCAGTCTAAAGTAACTTTAAATCAGCTGCTTTACAAAAGCAATTACAAGAAACTGTGGCCGCCACACTCACACAGTAACTCTGCCCCAACAAAGGGAGGAGGGAAAATAAACAGGCACATTCATGCACAGGCTGCTGGCTCCTGGGCACAGCAGAACGTCTGCTATAACTAAAAAAAAAAAATCCATAGAGAGGACCCAGCACATCTGGGGCCGCCAGTCACGTGTGGCAATGGCTGCAGCCCACCACCACTTCCCCTAGAATAAACGTGCACAGAGTACACAGGAATGGGGGGGCGGGGCGACAGGCCGCAGGATCAGGCCTAGGCAGTCAGGCTCGCTTGTCCTGGGTGTGTGTGGAGGGAGTGGCACCTTGCACAAGCGCTGCTCCTAGCCCCACCTCACCTAGACCTGGCACCAAACCCAGCCCTTGTAAGCCAATTGTTAACTCAAAGTTATAGTCCCCAAAATAACACATTACTGGGGTCTCTAAACTTCTCATTTAAAATTTTCTATACTTTTGGCCTTAACATAAATTTTTTCCTCCAAATATTAACACTAGTTGTCCCATATGGTACTGTTATTGGTCCAAAATGCCCTCTGAATGCCCTTCTCTAACTTTACGCATGATTTATTTCTCTATCAAAAGTAGCCTTTATTAAAGAGGCTGCCTGCTGTTAGCTAAAAGACAGGATCCTAACATTTTGTTCTTTCTAAATGGGACCTGCACCTTCCAGTCTTCTGGCTTGTAGATGTTAAAAGCTTTGTACTAAGGCCTGGCCTCAATATGCTTTGGGTGACCAAGAGAAGTGGCCTTCACAGGGTTTCTTAAATTACAACACCATACTCCAATTAGACCTTTGGTAAAAAGAGGGCAAGTCTATGTTCCCTTCCAGCTATCAGATCTAAAGGAAATTTAGAAACATCTAAACAGCTATACTGATGCCCAGACAAATACATTCAAGCCTTTACCTCTGTGATCCAAACCTTTCAATTAACATAAAAGGATATTTTGCTTCTACTAGACCAGACTCTTGTCTCATTTAAAAATACAATGGGTTCCGGCCCAGGCCACTCAGGTTAAAAATGATTACCATTTACAATAAGCCCCAATACTAAAAATGAGGAAATAAATACACCTGCCTACAGGGGCACTGACAGTCCCTTTAACTGATCTACACTAAAAGGAACTAATGATAATAACTCAAGCAGTAGAGTGCCACTTTGCAGGCATAAAGCCCTGAGTTCAAATTCAACACAGCCAAAGACAAAAAATATTTGGAACTAAAGTAGCTCAATGGAAAAATGTCTGCCAAACATGTACAAAGCCCTGGGTTCAATTCCCCAACATTACTAAATCAAATAATAATAATAATAATAAAAAGATAACTGTCATTAATGCCACTTCAGCCATCTCATAATAAAAAAGTAGTTTAACCTAGACCAGTTTCCTCATTCTTCAAATGGGGAAACTGAGGCCCAGAACAGTTTAAAGACCTGCTCTTCAGAGTGTCAGGTGTCAATGTAAAATAACAACTTTGCTTTACAGCAGTGCCCTAAAAGAAAATCCCCTTACCTTTCTACAACATCTTAAGGACGCTATCAGAAAACATACCATGATGGACCCAGAATCACAGGTGAGAGAGGTTCTCCTCAAAGATAAATTTCTAACAGTCAGCCCCTGATATTTGTAAAAAACTCAGTCTCTATGGCTGAAGGAGAAAAGTCATTGGGCCAACTAATACAACTAGCCATATCTGTATATTATAACTGAGACATTACTAACAGAGAGAAAGATAAGAGATAGGACCTCATTGCTTCCCCCACCCAACTGGGGC